TTGGCTAATTTTAAGAATAACTTATCGAAAAAAGGCATTACACCACCTTTACGAGATGAATGTGTGCAAATTATGAAGAGGGCCGCTTATGCATACACTTCTCGTTCCTATAACAATGAATGTAACGAGCTACGGCATAAATCAGAGATCGCCTATTGTGAAATGTTGAGGATGAGTCCAGAAAATTGGGCTAATTGTTATTTTCCTGGGAAGAGGTTAATTTTTTTTTTAATTTTAAATGCAAACCTTCAAGATATATGTACCTGCTATACTTACTATTTATTGACATGCATGTAGATATGGATGGTTGACATCAAACGTAGCGGAGTCATTCAATGCTTGGATCAAAGAAGCTCGTTATTTGCCAATTACCCAAACAATTGATAACATTCGCAAGAAAATGATAAGGATGAGTTTTGAAAGGCGGGAGGCATCCCACAAGTGGACCACAACATTTGTTCCCACTGTGGAAGAGCACCTTATTCAGATTAATGAGCAATCACGTTGTCTTTCTGCAATTCCTTCTACTACCGGAAGGTACGAGGTGTATGATTTGCCCACCGTTGAAGTAGATTTGAATGAACGCACATGCACTTGTCATGAATGGCAAGTAGTCGGTGAATTAGACTGCATGCATTAGACTGCATGCACTTATCTATAAAAATTATAATGATCAAATTGGTCAACCAGTCAATCTTGTATTCAGTGAATTAGACTGCATGCAGTAGTTTCTTGTTTCTCACTTAGAATGTCAAATGAAGTTAAAAGCTCAATATTTTTATAGATACTTCATGACTCATTTGAAATTACTTATGTGAAAATTGAGCCATATATCCTAGATAGATTTGAGGATGTCATTGTATTCTATAACTAAATAGCATGTGATGAAAGTGATTAAGAAGAAATGTTTTCTTCATTAGGATTCTTCTCTATTTACTCATCGAGGGTTCAGAATGTATTTGGGCTTTAGATTTTGGTGGGAGTTTCTCAATTTTTATATTCCTTCAAACTATAGCGAGTTTTCCTCCTCCATTCATTGACATAGTTTTTTTGGGGTCACAAATGCATGCTATTTCTTCTTGCATATAATTTTCACAATATTTGCAACACGCAACACACAATCCTTGATTCAGAATTCTCAACAACTCTCAGTTTGCTACATAGTAAATTGTTTGCAGATTTCTGTTTTATCAATAACCACATAGGCAAAAACTACAGCCATATTATTCCATTGCATCCTCATAAATGTGGCATTTTGTGAAATTATGTTGTATTGATTGGAAGATTGAATGGATATTTACGGCATCCAGTGTTTATCATGTCCTAGATAAGACTTCCAGTACGTTCTGTTGTCGATTATTTGGCATTTCAAATACACATGAAATCATATTGATGGAAAGTTCATCTAACTATTAAGCTCAAATAACTGAACATCTAAACAAAGATATCATACAATGCTTGATCGTCTATTTTCCTTCTTGGGTACCCTTTTCTTTTCTTATGTTCTCTTAGTATTCTTCATCGTCAATGGTTGTTGATGGCTTTCATGAAAAATTTTCTACTTTTCTGAACTCAATTCCAAAGCTTTTCTTGAGAAGGCAAGAACATAAGAGAGCAACTGAGCACCTCTTCATTGGTTTTCTAAATTTTGCTTTGTCCAACTTTTGTTAAAATCCGTCATAATGCAGTTATAACTTGCCTAGTCGAAAAATGCATATTACTAGTTTGTTGTGGTTAAGGATTGTGCTAAAAAGTTTTCCATATTTCTTTCCTTAAGTACTTGTAACTTGCCAATGTGCGGTGATATATGCTTCATGCCGAGAAATAAGCATAGTAAGGTACCCTATTTACCTCAAAAATTCATGTCATTCCCAACTTCATGCCTGGACCATGACATGAAGCCTCAAGCCTCATTCTTATATTTCTATCTGCATTACGCATGATTGTGTACTGTATGTGCATTTTCACCAAATACAGAGAAGCAAACTCAATGCTACATATGTTTACATAATATTCAATCAGACAATTATTGAAGAAATGCCGCATAACCTATCGTACCTTTGCTATCTCCTCTGAAACCACATTATGTTTGCAGGAAGAGAAGTAGGTCTAGCATGAAGTTTTCAGGAGTAGTTTCTTAAGGAGTAGTTTCTAGTTTTCAGGTCGGACTACTTTTCTTCATCTTAATGTTATTCTTCACAATATTTTTAACCGAATATTTCTAATTTTTTGATGATTTCTTATGAATGGATTAGGGTTTGGTGATTTTGATGGATTCTTAGCTAATTCAAGTAAGGAGTGCTTGTCTCATCTCAAAGGTACAAAATTTTCATTTTATTGAGAATTCTGTTCTTTTTATTTAGTGTATACTTGATTATGATGCATTTCTAAAATGTATCTTTCATTAGGTTTGTGCAAGTCTATTTCTTTTCAAGTATAATTTCAACTCGCACATCTCCCTTGACACTATTGTTTTGGTGAATACCTTATTGTCGATCTATAATACCTTATTGTTGTGAAGACTGTCATGAATCTGAGCCTTGCTTCTGCCATTTTAGTAACTCGTTCTCCTTGCGGAGTCTCATAATACCTTCAAACAGGAAGATCAGTTTGTTAAAAAATAAAGTCTAAAATGTGTGACTACATATCCCCAAAAATCAGCTGAATTAGCTCAAATTAGCTTCATTAGATGTCAATTATGCTCCAAAAGGGTACACAAATCAAGTTCATGACAGCAGAAAAAACCTGTAATTAATACAACGTGCATGAATGGGTCACTGCAGAACCTGAATGTAGATAACACTGGAAAGAACATGAGAGAACAGTTTGAAGAAGCTTACAAATACTTGCTATCAACGAAGAAATACTATTGGTCTGGAGCTCAATTTTCCAATTGGTCATGAAACAATGATATCACTAACAACTTGTCAGAGTTCTTCAATGCGTGGGTGATTCCAACTACATTTGCCTGTAGTGGACCTCGTCGACTAGATCGGGATAAAAATTATGGAGAGGATGGAGCAAAGGCCAAGAATGTGTAGGAAGTGGAAGGGAAGACTTGTTCCCTATGCAGAGAGGTATGTGAAGATTGGGTGTTTTCATTGTAAGAAGATCAGTTGATTGGGTCACTGCAGAGGTTGAGAATGAAATAGAGGAGAGATATTAATCTTGAGGAGAGGATTTGCTCATGTAGGAAATGGCAGTTGACGGCTTTACCTTGCATTCATGTTGCTAGCATAATTAGCAACATAAGGAATGTTGATTGGGTAGATTACATAGATGATGTGTTTCATGTAGAGAGGTAGAAACAATTCCTATATTATTAATGATTATCTCTTGGTGCCGTTAAGGTTAACTAACAAACAATATTCACTAATTTTAGGTATAAAAAAAACATATGAACTTGGCCATAGGTACTCTGCCATAGGTACTACTACATCCAGGATCTCCTCAATTTGCTTAAATGAACTAGGTATTGTTTACTGTTTTATCCCCTTTATAGTTCTTTCACATTTATTAATTGTGTGTATTTGAATGTTTTTATTTAGAACGAGTCACTAAAACGGCAGAAGCAAGGCTCTGATGTAAGGTTATGTTCGAATATCCCTTGACACTATTTCTTTTCCAGTGTGCTTTTCTCATAAGCAGTCTCAGGCTTTTCTAATGTCAACGTTATGGGTTTTTTTTCGCAGGTCAAGCGTGATATTGTGCTGAGAGTGCTTGTGCTTTGGTCTCACCTTTTTCGGTTCTCATTGTCATTTGATATAGCTTGCTGCTTTGTCGAATGATTGTAGCTTATATGTAAGGGTTAATTGCATATACTCTCTGTGGTATCGTTTTTAAATTGCAACCCCTGTAGTGTACACTATTGCAGATGTGCCCTTGGGTTAAAATTGTGACTGTTTTACCCTTGGACTTACTAATTTCTAGCTGAAGTCAAACAAAAGGATATTGGATTCGTTTGATGTTATTTGGGCCTTCTCTGTTCTCTGAGCTTATTGCCAGAAGTAGAAGGAATTGTTTTTGTATGTTGACAAATGATTCCTGTGAAGTTTCATGAGGACAAATGATTCCTGTGAAGTTTCTTACTTTTGGTGTTTGCATTGGTGAGCTGATATATTGTACTAAAGGTGGTTGTGCTTTGGTCTCATCTTTTTTGTTTCTCATTGTCACTTGTTGTGGTGTTTGCTTCTATGGTGAATGATTGTGGCTTATAGTATACTCCAATATATTGGCATCTGATGGTTTGGTACATTTGCTCTTTTATTGGATGTCTTTGTGAAAGATACTAGTGGAGAGTATATCAAAGTGATCTCCAAGTACGTTAACGGAAAAATTGAAAGATACTTGATATGTTTGTAGAGTTTTCTTCATTTTTATTTTGTTGAAACTCTTGCAAGTTATGTTGGGCAATGAATTTGAAAACTTAGCAAATGTAGTTATCATCGCCAAAATTACCTAAATTTGTGTTTTTTGGTTACTATTTTACAAATCACCATTGCATTTGATGTAAACAAGATGGGTTAAAGAGAATAAATTTTCATCAATTTTAAATTCAAATTCATGTATAATAAAGTACCCAAACACTAGATTTTGAAATCAAATGTTTCAAATCCTTTCATTTAATAAAGATATCCAAACAAAAGATTTATTAAATCATGGATTTCAAATCCTAAATTTAAAATCCCTTGATTTTAAATCAACTTCCCAAATCCAAATCAAAGTTCCCAAACGTTGCCTAAAAGAATTCATAGGATAAATGCGGCGAAGGAACCAAACACAGGTTTGCATGTGTTGGACATCCTCGGATCCCCTAAGATGTTACCTGAGCAACAGGTGTGTGGGCTTTTTTATTTTTTTATTTTTTGATCAAACAGGTGTGTGGGCTTTGGATACCACAGGTGTGTGGGCTTTGGATACCATCTCGGATACGAATGTGTCAGTGGCGCGGGTCCCGCTCCCTTTTCCCGTTGTAGCGTATCTCCTCTTTCCCCCTTTTCGTGTATCGTCATCTCCCCATTCCGATCTGAATTCAAATGGAGCCAAAATCAAACCAAACCCTAGTTTAGAAAAAGAAAAAGGGAACCCGGAGAGCTCCTCATTCATTCTTCTCCAATGGCCGAGAGGGGGGAAGCTGTTCTTCCACCACCACCTCCTCCTCCTCCTCCTCCTCCGAAGGTGGAGGAGAGCGGGGGGGTTGAAGGAAGCGACGATCACCATCAACATCATCAACAACATCAATACCATTTCCAGCATCAGGATCCGTCAACTTCAGCTTCAGCTTCAGCTTCGACATCGGGACCAGTGGCGAAGAGAGCTCGAAGGGATAGAGTTTGTACGGCGAAGGAAAGGATCAGCAGGATGCCCCCTTGCGCCGCTGGAAAGAGGAGTTCCATCTACAGAGGAGTCACCAGGTCTCTACCCTCTATCGCCTTAAATTTATCTTCAATATGAAACCCTAATTAAGATTCCAGTTTTGTCACGGGGACTTCTTACAGTTATGCTGGTATCCAACTTTGTACAAACGCAAAATCCTCAAATCATCGTGGGAAATTCTGTTAGAAAAGTCACTGCAAATAATCAAAAAGAGTAATTTCAGAAAGGTTAGAAACGCAGGCTTGAGAGGGGCAATAGTTGCCGCCTTCGCAGAGACGATTCAATGTGACTACGCCTAGCGGTAAGAACCCCCGAGATAAGCCGGCATCAAAGTTTACTGCGAACTTTGATCTCTTGCTCAATGGATGTTTGCCCCAAAATAAAATTAGAAATCAATTGTAGAAAATATAAGTCAGAGAGAGAGAACATAAGCTGCTCATGTTTCTTCCCTGTTTTCATCCTTTATCGTGATCCCTTTTTATAGCATCTTGATTTTCCCGTTGGAATAATTGCTGCCATCAAGGTGGAGGAATTCATGCTTGTTGATGAGGCCGGAGATGACGCCGACGTTGCCGAAATATGGGGAGGAATTGCGGGATTTTTCTTTAGAACCGCTCGGAGGAATAAAAGGAAAGAGAGGAGGAAACATCGGATTTTAATTGGGGGAAACGGAACATTTAGAAGATAAGGAAAGAAGTAGGTAATATGCAAATACACCCCTCACAAGACAATATTTGCATTAAAGAAGAAACTTTAATCTTTTAATTCATTCCAACAATCCCCCCCAAAAGTTTGAGTTTCGGAGAATAAAAGAATAATAATAATAACAAAAACAATAATAATGGTAACAAAATATAGGTCGGGCTACCTCATATTATGAATTCGGCAAAGATAGCTTTCGGCTTTGAATCTTTGCTTAGTGACATTTGTCGCAATCTGAGGAGCATAATGGATTAGACCTTGAATTAGGCCCCTTTGATCAGAAATTAACAAAAGCACACATAATATGCATCCATTTATTGAGCGAGCGGGTTGGAGCGATAATGACCATGCTCACAATAACCGTCTCATGAGAGTTACTAGGACTCAGCCTCATGTCCCCAACCGCGGCCTCACTGTTCCTCTCACGGAGGTAAGTCCTCCAAGGGTACTGTAACTGGATATTGCACCCCCCATAAAGGTTGGACTTATTAAGAGTAGAACTCATCCTGCCCAGTCACATCATAAGTGCACTATCACTATAGGAATGAGGGAGTAGCTAACATGGTGCAAGTCATAAATGCATCCAACACTACAAAAGGAGTATAACTAGGAATGAGGGAGTAGCTAACATGGTGCAAGTCATAAATGCATCCAACACTACAAAAGGAGTATAACTCCGAAGGTCAGTGCTCCACACGAGATCACCAATCTAACTCCGAAGGTCAGTGCTCCACACGAGATCACCAATCCAGCTTGTTTCTACCACATTGAACCTTTTTCGTGAGAATAATTCATCAATCAAAGGTTGGGTTCCCGCTGTCAGTGAACTCTACTATGGGCTTAACCTCATTCCTCTCGATGATTCTAGGATTGCACTCTTAGATAGACCATTTGTCAAGGATCATCAAGATTCTTTTCAAACTTTATAAAGTTTAGAATCACAACTTTGCCTAGCAGGCATTTTATAGATAACTTATTTGAATATGTCTGTTATTCATATATTAGACAAACATATATGCTTTGAATTTTACAAGTGCTATCATGCATATATTTAACCAACTTTCAAGTGTACCTTTGATGCATTGTATGAAAAAATACATCATAATGCAAAAAGGTAATGATTTTGAATTATAGTATCAGATAAATCTGAAAAAGTAGTGATGCATCATATACATAGAAGTTATAAGATATACCTCTTGATTTGATTTTTCAGGACATTTATTCATCACATCTCCTGTAACTAGGCATATTAGTTGATAGAGCATATTTATATCAACACTAATCATTTCCTGAAATCTCAAGAGAAAACATTATATATGTATAGTCAAATGAAGAGCTATAAAATGATTCGTTCCATTCACTATTAAAGTGATAGGACATCAAAACATGTTAGCATTGTTATTGATGTCTCTTATAAAGAAACAATGGATAATAGTTAAACATTTTCAATTTAAATGTCAAGGTTTTAAACAAGATGCGCTCATGTATGAGCATAGTTCCTTGAGAGCTTTAGCAGATGTATTGACAACAAGGAACTGCTTGTTATGAGATATATAATGCTCTCTAAGAGTGCTACAAATCCAGTAGAGAAACCAATTCTTTAATTAAATGAAATAGCTAAGTGCAGCTAAATGCACCTGCTGGACCGAACTACGATGTAATACATCCTAGAGTCAAAAGGAGGATAATAGACATCCTATATTTAACAGATTAATTTGTAGATCAAGATTTACAGTCATACTGAAAGAGAAGTTGAATAAAATAACAAACATATATGTTGTAGAAAGACATTTTAAAATGATTCTCTGAGTAAACACTGAGAGTAACTTGTCATGCCTAGCATGCGTTGTAGAAAGACATTTTAAAATGATTCTCTGAGTAAACACTGAGAGTAACTTGTCATGCCTAGCATGCAAAAACCTATATATACTAGATTCCAAAGATGAGCTGTGAATTATGCATAAATGAAATACTATATATATACAAAATGAGTTGGTTGAAACCTTCCTTGAAAGACTTAATCAAAATCTTAGAATTGTCACAAGATATGAACATAATAATTTCACTCTATGATTTGATAAGGACTCACACATTCAAAAGCCAAAGAATAAAATCAGAGAGAAAAAAAAAATTGAAATACATAGAACTAAAGAAACTAAGAACGAGTGGAGACCAAAGATACTACCAGACATTTAATCGGATGAAGGTCCATGACAATGTAGTCATGATGAGAGAAACAATTCTTTAGCACTACCAGACATTTAATCGGATGAAGGTCCATGACAATGTAGTCATGATGAGAGAAACAATTCTTTAGCTACAACTGAAACTGTTGGCTATATAATCAACAAAATGTGCATTATAGAAGTGGTCAAGAGCTCTCTTACAGTTAAAGTGAATAACAGACTATCAGAATTACTGATTGGTAAAGCTTCAGAACCCTCTTTGTAAAATCAGACAAATGTCACAACAAAAAGGACCTGTATGTCTCAATCCACAATTGCTCTTGGAAAGAAACCACTAAGTTTGTTTCGGAAGCAGTACATTAATTTTCTCCATGGTCTACTTGGATGCAAATTCAAGGTATGAAAGATGATGTACTCTACTTTCAGAGGTACATAAACTCCCAAATCCATATTGATATTCATTATCTAAGTCAACAAGCTTGTCCTCTAACAAAAAAAATTAAGCTATCATGTAATATCATTTCTATTATGAAACAAAGAACAAAAAATAATATAAGATTAAGTTCATTAAGCCAAATGTCAAGTTGCTCAACAGTTGCCAGGGCGAAATTAAAAGCTAATATGAATTCAAGCAGTAACTAGCATGATCAAAAATTATCAAGGAAGGTATAGACAACAAAAGCACAAAGGGTTTGCCATAATTAAGCTGTATCGCTTACTAACTAATTTGTGCAACTGGTTAATCCAAAAAGAAACTGGATTAAAGAATAAAATATAAACAAATATGCACATATGAATACCTGAAGGACCAACTTACGATAAACAGAATAAGTAAGTGGGACCGAGGTCAGCCTACGGATTGACCTAAGGAATCATGATAGCTCCTGACTGCCGGAAATTTTTGATTTAGCCTTTAAAATCATGTAAAGAAAGTTTTAGTCACAGTAGAAGTAAGCATACTTGAAGTTAGAAGTTAGAGGAAAGGCCTGTTTATCTCCCTATATAACTTAATGATAACAGACACACTTGTACTGTGCACTGCACACCTTTATGGTGCATAAATAAGCAATGCAATTGCAGTGACGGTCAAGAACGGAAGAACATAATTGGTGCTCCCTATAAACAAATGTTTTCCTTACCAATTATGACCACCGGATTCATCACAAATTCGAAACCTCCAAACAACCATCGTAGTAGAAAGAGGTAATTACCAAACTTTATCTACTACTACCCGGATTATGCTAATAAAAAGATGTGTTAATTATCTAATGGCTTCTAACCATAATATTTAAAACTAAAGAAAAAAAAAATAGATCAACAAACCCACACTGTCATCTATGGCTTGTATACCTTTCATAATTCCCTATACTTCGCTAAGCAGGAATCTTCTGCATCTCTAGGTATTTTGAGGGGCCATCAAACTTGAAAATTAGATCATAAAAGGATGCAGGAATACAAACATGCTACCAACATAACCAAATATACCTGGTTGAGAACATCCATGATTTAAGATCAAGAGAGAAGTTTCCAACTTGGCCCACCAAAAATTCAACTAAAAACACAATTATCTTAACTAGGAAAAGGGCAAACTGACAGGTTGAGTGTACAAGGATACCAGTATGAACAGAAGAACCATCACTGGGTTACAACTACCAGGAAGTTAAATTCCTTTATTGTTGTTATGCATGGACATGTATAATAAGGAAAAACTAATCATTTAAAATTGCAATACGTTAACCTTACATATTTAGCACTCCTGTGTTGTGAAAGTGAATAACATGAACTATAAAGCAAAAGTAAAATTTCTCAGAATCAATATTGTTATGGCTATACTGAAGTTCCTCATTTAGTAGACCAGAACTCATGGATCATGAGGAACTAAGAAAGGAACCTTTTACGGAAATTTGACCAGTTAGGACTTCTAAAAATGTAAGAAAAGGTTTATATGAACAAAACCATTGTTGTTAACTGATTGAAGTGGATGAAACTCTTGCAGAAAATTACAACTCGTATTTCAATTTATACCTTTTAGTGCTTAAGAATTTTCCATCTCTTAAATAATCATCTTTCTATTTTTTTAAAACATAATCCTACGTTACACCATGTGGTTGTCAATCAAGGACAAAGCACGACCTATATATATAATGAGA